TTTATCAGGATCCTTTCATATTCACGAATAACTATGTCATCTTCGAAGCAATGTGCATTGAAAAAGTGAAGCCGACACTAAATAGAATCAGCTACGAATTCTGTAATAATTTTCTAAAATGTTTTCTTTACTGGCAATTTTGTTTTTTCGTAATTACCCATTTTTGGCGGTTTTTCTGGTTTTTTTTTTTTGGTTTTTTTTGGCGGGGGGTTCGTATTTACTCGTTTTTTCAATCGGTTTCCTTTAAGGATAATTTTTTTTAGAAGCAATTTATCTTAACTAAATTTACACGCTATTTTTTCTTTTATCTATTATTCAATATGTGAAGAAATATCTTGATTATTTTAAGCAATTTTAGTTATATGTTATTTCTCTTAGTTTTTAAACAAATTTCTTCCGTTAATGATAATTTGTTGGGATTCACCCATTTTATCTAAAATTTACACGTTATTATGTTGTTGTTTTTTTAACGAGTATTTAACATGTAAATATCTAAATTAATGTATTTTTAAGCGATTTCAGTTAAATGTTAGTTTTTAAACGGAATTTATTGGAGCATAAACCAATTTATTCATACCACATTTTAGAAGTTTTCTTTTTTAAATAGTCTAAGACATTTGAATCACACTAAACATTTTAAGTGTAGTTAAGAAAAAATGAGAATAAAAAGGAAAATTATAAAAAGAGAAAGACGAAACAAATAAGATATAATAAAGAAGTTAAAATGGGAGGAAGAGAAAGAAAAGTAATATATATATATTAATAAAATAAAAACGATTTATTATATTGGTTCATATATATATATATATATATATATATATATTAATAAAATAAAAACGATTTATTATATTTGTTCCTCAATTTTTACCTATCATAATTTTACACAGACCCCCACCACATATATATACATACATGCGAGGAAATATTATTCAGTGGAAAAATAAAAATATGACATGTATACATTCACGAGAAGTTTTCGCTACACTTCCAATCTTTGAATTTCAACATACAAATGCGTATGTATAGACACAACACCACCCGTATACATACATATGTCATATCCGAAACTGCCCACATATGTTTATATATGTATGAGTCCCGACGGACGACCAAGTGTGTATGTGTATCTGCGTACATCGATGTTTGCGTTAGTACGATGACATAAGCGACGAAGTTTCCCCCACCACTTCCACAATAACACCAATACACGCAATCTTCATAAACCCAAAATTAAAAACAAATTAATCAGTTTGTCTGACGATCGCAAAAGCGTGAAACCCAGGGTCACAAACTCACATCTATCCAACCAAATATGTTAGCTCTATCTCTGATATTGAGCGCTTTCTAATAAGTACCGCGCATATAATATATAAATAATTATATATATATATATATTTATTTATTTATATTTATACACACACACACCCAGCCACACACACACACACAGACACACACACACACATATATATATATAAATATATATATATATATATTGGTTTGTTTTCTTCTCTTCTTCCAAAAAAACCCCTGTCTTGGCCGGATGTAGGCAGATCAGTACAACCATGCATACCCGATCAATAACATCGAATAGTCCAAGTGAAAACTTAATTAGTTGCCGTTTTTCTGGGGGAACTTATATAAAGCACGTCCTAAAGCTAGTAGCAAATTTTATTCTGGGCGCGGGCCGAATACTGATCATAATCGGTCGGGTCGCCGATCGAAGAAGTCTGTTGTTTATTTAGACCCCGAAACTCCTAGTGACATGGGAGCAACAACACTGATGATGGACCTAGATTCGGCACTGAAACGTGTAGTTTTAATAATTAAAAGAAAGAACAGCTTTCACGTTTTAATGCGTACTCGACCATGACATTCCATCCTAAAAGAAAAAAAAATCTATAATGGATCATTTTTTTCACGTTCTAAGGAACGCTAAAGCATAATTGTCAGCCATATAATTCAAACGCAAAAAGAAAAAAATCCAGTAATTCTTTTGCCTTACCAACTGGACCTCTGATGATGATCTCAGAAAGAGATAGAAAGTATAGTATTTACATTAGTTGGACTATTGTCCTCATCTTTGTCGCCATATTTGTCACAACGTTTCGGCCGTTGTACGCTCCGGCCTTCTTCAGGTGGTTGGAATTTCGAACTGAACCCTTTATTTCGATCACTGGGGTAGACTGTTCTAGTTCCACGTGCCATGTTTGATGGATGTCAGTTATCAGTTATCTCCTGCTAATTTTCCCTCTGAAAGTTCTCCACTGCCTTAACCAGGAATTGAACTCACCTTCTTTGGGTTTGTCACTGGATCTAACCAACGCCTTTATCCACTGTGCCATGTGTCCTTAAGATAGAAAGCACTTTGGAAGTGAATGTAATTCTCACTCTTACAGCGCATTCCTTGCCTTATTCAATTGTCATATGCAGAAAAATATTCGTGAATATGAAAGGATTATGATCAAAATAAGCAGACGTAATGTTTCAATTAGACACATAT